AAAAGTGGCACGACGATTTTGGATGATTTTATTTGACTTAATATTACGTATGCATCTTCGTTGTATGATTTGAATATCGGAAAAAGTTTGTATTTAATTATGTATGTGTTTTATTTTGGAGTTTAGACAATTATTTAGAATTTGGTTTGAATTTGTGACTGTAGTTTGAATTGTAAATCATGTAGACTAATTTTTCAGTTTTTTGTGATCTTTATGAAAACTACGGCTTCTAGGTTTTTCTCAGGATCGGGTCGGGTTCGGGTACAATATTTTGGGTCGGGTTCGGGGACGGGGCAAAAAAAATCCCCGACGGGGCGCCCCGATAAAAAACCTGATGGGGAACGAGGGAGCAAAACCCGCCCCGAACCCGCCCCGTTGCCATTCCTAGGACGCAACTTAAAATATTATTTGTTTTAAAAAAATTCGGTTGAATCTAAATTGTTATTTTTTCATAATATTTCGGTTGTTAACCGAAAATGTTATTTTTTATAATATTTTTGGTTGTTCCTGTTCACGATCGTTTCTTAACCTTAAATTTGGCCGACTACGACAGAACTACCCATTTTTAGTTGTATATATTGGGGCAAACTACATATTTAGTCTTCAATTATCATTTCAGTTCTATTTTAATTATTTAATTACTTTTTTCAAAAAGTATCACTAACGTTATATTTTTATTTCATTTTGATGACCATCTGTTAGAAAATTAATAGAACTATTAGCGTGGTATTTTTTATTTTCTTCAATGATGACATGATATTATCTATGGTGACACATCAACATCACAATTAATTTTTTAACATCAGGTAACGAAAATAAAACAAAAACATAATGTTAGTGATAATTGTGAAAAAAAAGTAGTTGAGTGATCAAAATGAAACCAAAGTGAAATTGAATGACTAAAACATAATTTAATCTATATATCAGCGCATTTGTTATTTTGACAAAATTTGTATATATTTTTCCATAATTTTGACTTATCTTTTTTTCTTTTCTTTTATTTCAGTTCAGCGTGATCGATTTCTGGATAGTCCAATAGAATGCATTTCTTACAAGATGCACTTTTTGCCATATTAGCAAAAGACAGTTCCTATAAAACACATTTTTGTTTACATGGTAAAATTCTATGAAATAATCTTATAAGAGTTTTAAAATGGGAAATTAATTTTTAATAATTGATATTTGAGTAGAAAAGCCATTAATGAGACTATTTTTTAATACTCAACTATCATTTTTTTTGTTTTGATCACTCAACTATTTTTTTAAATTATACATAATATTACATTTTGATTACCCACAATTAAAAAAATAACAGAACTGCTAATGCTAATTTTTTTCCAATGATTGTATGAAATTATCTTTTAGTGACATGTTAATATCGCTGTTAATTTTTAACTACAGTTTACCAAAATAGAACAAAAGTGATAGTTGAGATACTAAATGTATAGTTTACCCCTTTTTATACAATTTTAACCATTTTTCATAATTGTATATATATTATAAAAATATATAATTTTGCATTACTATATTTTTGAAAATGATGTGTTTTGAATATGCTTTTCTTCAACTTGAACTTTGCTGAAACTATAACTTTCTTCCTGTTAGAGTATGCCCAAAGACCAATCATATGATGATTGTAATGATACATTTTATTTACCGATTTTATTGAATAAAGGCATTGCCACTATTATTTTCAATTATATATATGTGTTTAACATAAACTGGAAGATAATAAAGTCCATATAATAACATAATTGTTATTATTAAAAGATCCCTAGTCAAGTATTATTATGGGCATGGACAATAATAATAAGCTTAAGACTAACAAGTTAATGATTGATGACAACGAGTTGTCATTGACATAGAGATGTCAGAATTGATACATGACTATATTGTTAGAGAACAATGTATTGGATTGACCCACCATGAGCATATGTATTGGATTATTATGTGACAGTCATAACATTGCTCATGGTGATCATTATATGTATGATCCTCAGACTTGAGATCAATACTATCCCAACATATATTGTTGTACGTTTTGATGCAGTTAAACAAGCTCCGTAACTGGTTGCTCTATAAAGACTGTTATTGAATATATCTCGATATATGTAGTGGGTGTGTATGATTAAGATAGGATTTGTCCTTCCTACATAATAGGAAATATATCACATGCCACTTGATTGAGTGAGACTAGAAATGCATGGCCATTCTCGAATAAGTTGATATGTGATATCACAAATTATTCGTTAATTAAAGTCTACTCTAGATATCAAGAAACAATATATGGGCTATACAAGTGTGACTATTCCAAAACTTATGCCTATTCTAGATATAAAGGACAAAAGGATGTAATACATAAAAGAGTTAATCATGAAGATGATATGTTGAATCATATTTTATTGTAACTTAGGTGACAATGATATATTGCTAGATGTCACTCATTGTATGTAATATTAGAATTGTTCTAATAATTACTGCTAACGTTACAAGAACCTACAGGGTCACACCTTAGGATTGAAATGAGCAAAGATGTACAATTTGTTGTACGTTACTAAAATATATCTAGAGTTAATATATGTTTGATATACATATGTTTTAATAATCCCAAATATTTAATTTAAATTAATTAAATAAAGATTTAATTAATTTGAAATAATAAAATCCCTAATATGTTAGGGTAACTTGGATATAAAAGGAGGTGTAAGGTCTAGCAGCCATTTTTTTACACATTATCTTCATTCGTTTTTCTCAAAACAATTTTGGGAAAAGAAAATATTGCTCTCAATCGGGTGATCTGAGTAGAGGCTGAGACGTTTTCGTGGAGGCTTGCGATTCGAATCGATCGACACCACCATTGGTCGTTGTTGTCATTGCTATTTTCAAGGAACCCACTGTAAGTATTCGCATCCTTTCTTCTCATTTTCGGTTTATCATATTTGGATCGTTGGTGAGACTGTTGAATTTTTGTTTCCGCTACGCCATGGGGTGAGCCGACGGTCTTAACACTTCCACTAGCGTTGCCATCGTTGGTCAGTCCAACTTTCAAAGTCCTATCTATAGGTTGTTCATCTTGCCATCATCTGTCAACTCGATTTTCAACTCCCCGTATCATTTTCACACGAGAACAATTGATAGTTCTCCAAAATAGTTATCATTTATGATTGTTTACCTAGGTTTAACTTGGACTTTAGCATAATTTGGAGCAAATTAGGATAATTTGTATATATTTTTATACAAATTGCATAATGGGAACTACTTTGAGAACTTTGGGTTAATTTTGTTGTTCATTACTGAAATCTAGTACACTGATATTGTAACAATGCTCTATGGTGTAGGTGAAGTTGCGCAACATTATTGCATCGAACTGCTGAGCCACTAGCAGTTACGAAATTCTCTAAAACCTAGACAGCTGGCTGGACAACTGTCAATTTGCATAAATATATAGATGTTTTTGATGCATTTTGATTGGCTGCATGATTCTCTAAATTTTCCTATAAATAGGATATGTAGCCAAACTTTTAGAGGGTCTTTTTCTTCCCAAAATTTTTTATCCAAAAATCATCCACATCATGGTAACCTAAATCCATTATAGGAGAGTGCCTTAGCAGTTTTGGAGCAGTTGTGTAGTAGTGGCGACTGATTGGGGTTCAATATTTTTCTTAGTGCTATTTACTTAAGAAAGGGAGACACTTTGTTAAGTTTGAATGATTTGTTTTCATGTTTTTATTTGGTTTCGAACATAAAGTGTTCAGTGAAATTCTTGACTTATGGTTTTTGTTTTAGCAATATTTTTATGAGTTGAGTTTTAATTGGATGGTTTTAGAGATGAATGCATACTTATGTGTATTAATCTTGATTATTTTTGAACATGAAAATTATTGAGGTTACATGCTGTTTTAGTTCCAGTATTGGTGTTTATGAAAGTAAACTTAATCATATATAGATGTATGGTGTGAATTGTTATACTATGTTAACTGTTTAATCCTTAGAAGATTATTACAATTGTAATCATTGCGTGACTGATAATTGTATTACCACATCATAACTATGCTTTCAACTGCCCAAGAACAATATCATTCTTAGGTCCATCGATCTAATTTCTTTATCGTTTGCTATAGCAATTCCATGCTTTCATTATTATGATTTCTCTAGCTTGCTATCTGCTTGTTATTTTATCATCTCAACTATAAAATTGCCAAACATTTTTATGAACTTTTATGTAATCTATTTTTTTCATGTAAGTTTAACAAATGAAACTCTTACAGTTTACACTTTATTACTCGAAAACAATTCATATACTTGTGTTGAATACTAAAACAACTTACGTAGCATCAAGTTATTAGTGCCATTGCCGGAGAGCAATAGTATTGCATTCAAGTTATTTTCTTATTTTCACTAACTTTTTTTTATTTTTAGTTTTAGCTATTTCCTTTTTTCTAGTCAGATTTGCTGGTGTATGTCCCACCAAGAAGATTGTGACCTATGCCTTTTGGTTTCAAAGTTAAACGAACATTTGATCGCCACTATAGAGAATGCTTAAATGATTTACCACTACTACCACAAGGCGAGGAAAAAGTGTCAGTTGGTAATGGATTTCATCAGTATCATTACTACAATATAGATGATCACAACTGACCAATCCGAGAGCATGTTGTGCCACCCTAGACGGTTTAAATCTTGGCATCGTGAGACCCTCCATCCTTCTTGCCCACTTTGAGCTAAATCCTATTATGTTTCAAATGCTGCAGTCGATAAGGGCAATATAGTAGATCATTTCTTGAAAACCCTAGAGGACACCTTAGAGCATTCATGGAAGTGTGTAACTCTTCATACATCAATGAGTGCCCAAGGAAGCGTTGAAGTTACAGTTGTTTACTTACTCTCTTTGTGATAAAGCTAAGGTATGGTTTAATTTGCTCTCACCTAGTGCTATAACATCATGGAATGAGTTAGCACAAATTTTTTTGTTCAATTTCAACCCTCCCAACATGAATACCAAACTAAGGAAATATCTAACATCTTTGATGAAATTGGAGGATGAAAACCTATATGAAGTTTGGGAGTGTTTTAAAGATTTATTACGTAAATGCCTAATGCATGACTTTCCTCATTTGATGCAAATGTTTTACAATAGATTGAATATGCAAACAAGAATGGTTATTGATGCTTCTGCCAATGGAGCATTGTTATACAAGACCTACAATGATGCCCATGACATTCTGGAGAGAATATCCAATAATGACTACCAATAACCTAACACGAGGAACATGTTTGGACGCTGCAATACTACGATAATAGATACTGATGCTTTCAATTCAATGGCCTCACCAATAACATCATTGACGAAAATGGTAAAGAAATTGCTAAAGCTTGGGGGTATGTATAAGGTCAAAGTTGCATCTCTTATCTTTTGTGTTTATTGTGGTGATATTCCAATTTAAAACAATATAAGTTTAGACATTTTAATATGTTTTAATCTTTAAGTTTAGATATTCCAATTAAAATGAATGTAAAATGTAAAAAGAATAAAATTAAATAAAAAGTACATAAAATAATTAATATTCATATAACGAAATAAAAAATAAAATTACATAAAATAGAAGACCAGAAAATAAAATAACATAAATTACAATACTAGAAATTAAAATAATATAAAGTCTAATACCATAAAAATACAATTACATAATTATGGTCCATGGTTGAGAAATGATAAAAAAGATAAACATTTTCCTATTTTTGCATGAGTGTCTACAATGCCCAGATCTTTTAGGTTATTTTGACATCACTCTATTATCCATATCATAGTGAATTGAAGTGGATTTTGGACGACTTGGTTCTCTTAATAAACTCAGATCTGTTATAATTGTAAGTCAAGTATGAATATCATTTGGGTTTTTTTTCATTATATATGGGGAACTCAAATTTATATATCTTGAATACTTGTACAAGCTGATAGACGGGATCAACATAACGTTTGTAGTCCAAATGAGAATGTGAACATGGATACTTTAAAGCTTGAAAGGAGCCACAATCACACCACCTTTCTTGTAGATTCACATTGAAAGAGTTAGATTCAATCCCTTGAAGAGGTCATGACATCTCTGACACACAAAATAATTCATGAGTGCGAGAAAAAACTAATACCAATATCCCATTTGATGCTACAACTTTTTTCTTTAGACGTGCTACTAATATTGGGTGATAAATATGATCGTATTGCATCTAAGTAAGAGCTTGTCCCCGAGCTTCAATAAAATATACTCAAATAAAAATATGTCATTTTAACCAAAGTAGTTACAGGTAAATGACACCCCTTTAAGGTTGAATTGATAGCCTTTATCAAGTTGGTTCTTATATGACCATATCGATATCCCCCATCACATGCATTTTACATATTTCTTTGTCTATGATTCTGATGTAATTATAGTATTGGTCATTTTTGACTTGCAACTCTTTTCGTATATACTCAAACCTTTGAGCTAAGAGTTTGTAACTTAAGTCATATGTACTAGTTAGTAGAAAAAAAATAAAAATGAATGATAAATGAAATTAAAGAAAAAGTAACATATGCATGCATGTCATTAATTGACATTCATCATTCTTCTTAAAATTTTCATGGTAGTTTACAACAATATGTTGGATACACTAACAATGTTGGACATGTGGAGGTTTCCACATTCTAGCTAAAGAGTTCATTGTTGCTTTGATCTCAGCTCTTAAATCTTAAATGATGCATATACCATCCCTTTTGACAACATGAAAGAACACATTTTTAAGGAAAAAATCCCAGGATTATGTATCATCCCCTTAACTAGGGAAAACGCAACAAGAATAATGTTTTAGTTATCATCTTGGACAATTGCCTGTAATAAAACTTACTTGTATTTTCTATACAAGAATGTTCCATCAATTTGGACCACCAGTTTATAGTATTTCACTACATTAATGCATTGTGGGCAACTCAAAAAGACACGATAGAATTGTCATCTATTTCGGATCACTATCATTGTCGTATGTATGACGAGTTTCAAGCTCAACTATTATCTTAGGATTGAGTCTTTGCATTACTTTAAACCAACTTGGTAGCTCATTTTAAGAAGAATCACACTCGTCAAATAGTTTTATAATAACATTATGTTTTTCTGTAGGAGACAATATAACCAAAGTGTGATTGTATAACCTAAATCAGCACTGCAATAGCTATATGAGTGCTTGCTTTGACCATTGGCAAGATGTCTTGACAAATCACATTAGAATCCAAGTTATGATGGTCCTAGTTGATCCTTCTTACACAACATGTATGAGAACTGTTGTATCTAATTTGTTTCTATATGTTGTTCTTCCTCTTCCTCTTTGATACATGAACCATCTTGATGTAAGATATGCCACACCTCTTGTATGTTGAAGAGGGTAGTAACCTTGATTATTGGATCTCAGAAGTAGGAATCCAACCTACAAAGTAAGATAGACACAAAGAGAAGGTTTTGGGAAGGTTGATGTAAATGTGAATAAGAAAGCTAGAATAAGAAAGAAAGATTTGATCATGTATGACTGGGCTTGTATAGAAATGGGCGTGGTAATTGTTATGAAAGAAAGGATGGCTTGGTGAATATATAATTATCAAAACAAGGAAGAACCTAGGCTATAGAAATCCTAACCCTAAACCTTATACATTTTGATAGGGTGATAGAAAATGACTTAGACCCACTAACTATAAAGAGTTAGAAACCAAAAGTGTCAATGGAATGAAAAAATGGGGTGAAGCAACAAGCAAAACTTGATAAGTTGATAAAGTTCGATTAAGAACTTGAAGAGAGAATCATCAAAAGAAATTTGATTAATGAATAAAGCGAGATATGAGATGTCTTACAAAGCCAATGCATTAGCTATTTAAAGAAATCAAAGGGTCATGACCGAATAAACATGTAATAGTTCGGCTATGATATGAATCCCTTCTAAAAAACATAATTTTAATGAAAGTACTTGGCTTTTAATTAAAGTGCATGCTCTTGGTTGAATGATAAGGGTTTGGTTCAGACTAAATGATGAATGCACATGTCTTAGATGAATAATGAGCTGTTGGTTCAATTTTGGAGCCTTTTAAATGCTTATGTCCTTCCTTGGAATGCATATGACCTTTCACTCCAAAAGATGTGTAATGATTCAGATTGGATGATGAATGCTTTTGTTTTGTTGTTTTGACTCCATCTATGAATGAACATGACCCTTGGATGTGAAGGCACATAACTCAACTCATTTTGGCACCATCCTTGAAACCATATGTTGTATGGTGAAAGCACATAATGCTTGGAAGCAAGGTAGGTGCCTTAGGTAGCTAGACAGGTGATTATTAGCTAGGTAGGCTCAAGCTAGGCACTTTATACTCTAACTACCCTCCAATTACCTTTAGTCCTCTAATCAACTACTTAGTTGTCAGCTCACTCCCAGTTAGGTTTACATCTCATTCAGTTACTTCATATTCTCTCTTAGCTTAGCTACAATCGCTTTGTAATTTAAAGCATTTTGAGCTTCGTTTTAACTGCCATAGCTTCCATTATCTGATGTTGACCTACTTAGTTTCCTTAACTTAATCATACACTTGTGAATGACAAGAAAGTAATAAGTTAGGACTAAATAAGCTAAGAACACAAAGTTAACATGATGTACGCTTAAAATAAGGATGCAAATGGTATGATAACATAATAAAAAGATGTGTAATATGTCATATGCATGAATTAGCTAAGTATAAAGATGTGACATAGGTTATGAATGAATATCATATAATATACAAGTGAATGATAACATATGATAATTCAAGCATATTCTAATAAGCAAAAGCTTGCTTATAACAACATATAATGCATAAACAAGTAAATAGAAAATGAAGTAAGGTAGAATTTCATTATTATTTACCTTAATGAACGTCCATGATATGATCAAGTCATGAATAAAGTTGGTGCTGATTAGAATCACATCACATCCAATTGCATCCGTTATCACATTAAACACAATGATAAAAAACATTTTGTGGGTGACTCATTTGACTCTGAAGTGAATTGAATTACGAATATTGTAATTCTTAATAACATTCATTGTTTCCTCTTAGGATGGGAACTCAATTCCAATATATAACTCGCCATCATTGAAATATGAGTTAAATCAATAGCCTCCAATATTAGGAATATCCAAAAATTATGGCTCATACATTATTGTAAAGTAAACTTTATATATATGTTCTGAAAGTTCACTTTGTGTCGTATTTATGGGAATTTCATTCGTACCATCATCAAAGTCCATGTTAAATTGAGGTGATTCCGGTTCAATGAATAATCCTATCTCAACACCATATGCACCAGGCTCATGAAGTGGTTGTTTTTGTGGAGATGAATAATCCTATGTCTCATTTTTGGATGCCATTCTGATTTTTAAGGTAGAACAAGTTGGCAGATGAATACCTTCCTCTTGAACTTTAAGTCATACTGCCATATTGGTTTTGAAACAACTATTGTGTCGATGGCATTTCATTGTTGTGGTAAAAAAACTTGGGAGATGAATATCAATCCCTTGAACTTAAAGGCATAATGACATATTGGTGTTGAACAGATTGTTGCGTTGATGGCATTTCGATGTTGAGGTTGAAGAAGTTGACAATTGAATTTCTTCCCCTTGAACTTGAGAGGATGTTGCTATATGGATTATTTGTAGACCTACCTCGGTAGAGATCATAAGCAATAGCTGATGAATGCCTCTCCATCAAACTTAATGGAATCCCACGAGGTTAATTCATTATTAATAATGTGAAATCATTGCAAAATATTTTAGTTGGATTGTCAACTTGATCAGCTAACACATAATAAGAGAATAATAATATACCATTAAGAGCATAATAATATACCATGAACCCTATGCACTTCAAAAATTTTAGCATACATCTATGTAAAAGCTTCTGAATTTTTATTCCGATCATAAATCATCATAACAACATCATCATCATTTGAAAGATCTAACAGCGTATATGTTAATGGAAAAAGTTCAGTAGGACATCTGTACTGAAGTGAAGATAGTCTTCTAGTACTTCCAATATGAACTTTCTAGGAAACTTTA